AGTCCTACATAAAAGGATTTCATCCGTCTGCACTCGCACACACGCTCATTATGATTATTATGAGTAGTTTTGCTCCCAGTGCCGGCATCCCAAGCCATGTCTGTTGCTTTACCCTTCGACGTAATAGCAGTCGTATTTCCTCGTCCCCTTATCCTTTACCCCTCTGTACTGTTGCTGTTGCATTCAGTTGGATGCTGCTGAAAAGGACCGAGGGCATGGGCGTGGGCGGTGCCGGGGAGTGGGTTGGTAATACCATAAAATGAGCATCGAGGCGCATTTAATACTCGCACTTGAAGCTTGTTTTAAAAGGACGTACTGTGGTTAAATGCATCGTTAAAATATAAATCGTTATTTAATTTTAATCGTTACTTTTAGTGAGAATAATAAGGAGATTGCTCTTATTGAAATTTAAGTTTATAGTGAAATTTAACTGTAAGTAAAATTAATGGGTTTGAAACTAGTGTCTAGTTGTAAAGACTTTGTAGCTTAAGCCTTCTTATAAAGCTCCTGTTCTAGACATTTTGTTAAAATTTAATTTATAATTTATCTGTAAGTAATACGAAAAACTAAAAACATTAAAGGGGAATCACATCCCTCCAACCACTGTGCTGTCGTGCAACTCCTACGGATTCCCGAGCCCAGTGCGGAAGTGAATATGTGGCTGCCATGGGTATGTACCATGTACATACAATATATATGTATGTATGTGACCATGAGCATACATTTCCCGGCATTACAAGCTCACTTTTTAATATGTATGCATGTCTCCAGTGCGGCCACCGTACGTACATATGTAAGTACGAGCTGGTTGGTGTGTGTGTGTGTGGGCATGGGATGAGTAATGACTGCCTTCGGCCGGAGCGTTTCAGCATTTTTAGCATTGGCAGCAGCGCGTTCCAATGTCCTTACATAGACATAGTCTTTCGTTCATTTTGAAGGCTATGCACTTAGGCGAGGTCATAAATATGCGACGCAAAAGTAGGGGAAATGGAACGAAAGGGAGAGTGCTGAAATGTTATGTAAAGTGTGTTGGCCAGCTTAAAGCCCAAAGGCTTTAATTGCAGACACCACACATACATTTTTATATATTCCACCAACAAATGAAATAAAAAAATGCACAGAGAATAATCATAAGGGAATTTTTGTGACAAATTCAAGTCTATCTTGGAACTAATAAAATATCTTTGGTTTTGAATGAATGTAATATGTCCTAGTAACATATTTTTAATATTAAATTGACATAAGTAAATTCTTCCTCTTTGAAATTCCAAATATCTGGAGCAGATCAAACAAATATATAATTACTTTTATAAAATCAATTCCATTCCACAACTTAAATGTCTTTTTAGTTGTGCAAACACCAGTGAGAGGACATTTTCATAGCCACGAACCGCGTGCAGCTTCTGCAATCGCATCCTTTTTGTGACGCCAGGCTGGCTCCGATGTCGCTTTTCCGTCGCTGGCTTTCATTCATAATTGCAGGATGCATTTTGTTTTAGTGCTCTCGGCCACAGCCAGCCAGCTCTCCCTTTTCTGGCTGGGCAAACATCAAGGATATCCTTGAGTTGGCGCTGAAAAAATATTTGCATTTGCTCAGTTCTTTTGTTTCGCCCGGCTCGCAGTGCCACTTGTCGACCCCTTTTAACGGAATTCCAACGCACAAATGTTCAACTCTCATTCGCCCTAATTGAGCTCGCGGGCAGGATGTGGGTGTGGTACCAAATTTAGTTACACTTTACCCAGTCCATGTGTGTGTGAGGGTCCAGTAAATGCAAATTGCATTCGCATATTTTACACGCCCTTCGGGCCACCAGGGCGCATACGTAATGGAATTGACAGCGCGGAAAATCGGAAATTCTAGTGCCAGAGCGAGAGGATTTTGGTCCTGCAGCACACACAATGTCGAACTGGTGACCAAGTGGCAGTGTCTCTGTGCCGGCAGTTCTAGTTCCAGGCAAATGTAATTTATGCCTATAATGGGAATCCTTTCCTCCGCCATGTGGCTTTTGTTCTCACAGGACTCTGGGGGCAGCGGAGGGGCAAATGACACATGGATATGGGCGATCAGGCAGTTAATGCCCTGGGATTGGCTCCATTGAGCCACGGACAAAGTGGATTTCGAATAAGTTTTATGGATTAGCCAATGTAGCATTTGAATTTTTATGTCCAACACATAACTTTTCGCGGTTAAATACTTTTTCTAACTGACAAGTAATTGGCAATATACATTTTATATTGCTGGTTATTATTTTGAAGGAACTTAGGCAATAATTTCTTCAATTATTACTTCTCTTTATTTATAACTTCATCCAAGGTTTGATTTTACGATTAGGCAAATATAAGTTGCAAAAATAAGATTTTTCGGATAATTTGATATGCAAATGTTGAAGTTACTCAAGGCTATTATTATTATAATTATAATATAAATTATAATTATATTATAATTGATCCATATTTTTAATACAGTGAATAATTTTAATATAATTCCTTGTAATAATATAATATGGTAATGGCAGTGAGTAGATCTCCCTCTCTCTCTCTCTATCTCTCTCGGTATGTCTATCTCACTCTGTGTATCTTTAGAGATATTACTTTCTTTATATGTCCCTCTGCCTAACTCTATAGATATCCCCCTCTCTCTCTCTTCCGCTCGCTCTCTCGCTCGCTCTCACATTTTCTGTTCTCTTCACTCGGCGACTATAAATAGAGGCAGAGCCGTCGGACTGATCTCAGTCTGTCCGTGGCCTCGATAGGGTTTACATCTAGTGAAAGTGATAGTGATTACGATTACCATTCGACCTGACCAATGAAATACATCTGGATAGCCAGGAAGAAGCTTATTTCGATGATACGATGAAAAGTCTACTTGAAGTCATCAAGAATATCACTCTACCGTGCAAGGAATTAAAGAGGACACAGGAGAACCCTGTGTCCTCTACTCTGGTAAGTCTTAATTATAACAATTATATTATATTTATATGTAAATGCTATAGGAGGGATCAGACCGAGGTTTAGAATCAGATGTGCTGGCCATGCATTTATTAATTTCCTTATCGACATGGACCCTCTTACTTAGTGTTAATTTAAAGAGCTGAAGCAATTTGTATTAGGGAGATCTATATACTCTATGTACGGTATGCAAATTGCAATATGGTTTTTATATTTCAATTTCAGATTATTTTAGGAGTAAGTCTTTAAGCACTTAGAATCTTTAACTATCTAATAAGCCTCACCAATTCCCAGAATGACGGCATGTACAAACAATGACATAAATTTCAACATTATTTCTACGGCTTCCTACTGAAACTAATTCCTAATGAAACGCTGTCGCAGAAAGGTAGATTGGGGGGACTGCGGTGTGGGCCTGAAATATGACAGAAATTTCATCGACACGAACTGGGAATGTTTTGGTTTCGGTTTGGCTTTCATGACAAAATCAATTGCCCGGCGGCAGAGGGCACAACACGAGCGAAATTCAGACCAATTAAGTTGTCACACAGAGGCACAGAGTGGAAAAACAAAGATGGCTTATATTAATCAAAATATTTGCCAGATAACTGGGTCAATAGTTGGCCAGGGGAATGAGTCATGTTCTTGGTGGGTATTAACAATAACATTGCGAAATGGTGAAGAGCAGTTGAGCGCATTACTTAATATTACTGAGGAAACCCTCGAGTCTAGGAGTCTACCTAACTAACAGATTTAATGCCAAAGAGACGGCAAACAATTGGGCCGCAGGATAATGGAGGCACCTCCCCATTCGCCTCTGTGGCCACTTGAGTGGCATTAGTGACAACCTTGCCGCAGACTGAACAAAAGAAATATACCACTGACATTGACAGACTTGGCAAATGTTGACACGACTCTATCTGGATCTCTTGAGCTCCGCAATTTGCATTCGCATTCGCATTTGCATTTCCATCTGCATCTTTGGGTTTGTCAATTATTCCCTGCATCTGTAATTGCAATTTGTACGGTTTGCGAGGGGGTTGACTGGGTTGTTTGAGCCGTGCACAAACGGATTAAGCAATAACAAAAGCGCATTACAAGTGGATTTAATTGCAGGCTTAGATGGCAGCTCTGCTCGGCAAATTACGTATACGCACCGTTTGCCCTGCGGTTGTGTCTATCTTGTGGGCGAGTGTTTGCCCAGGCAACAGCGAGCAGGTTAGTTAGTTATGCATTGCCAGCTCAAGGAATTAGCCATGGGTAACAACAGCCGGGCCAGAAGCATTCAAGGCAATACACAGACGAGAGCGCAGGAAAGAGCAAACTTATGAAAGATTTCAGTTTCATATATGGGGAAAATAATACCTGGAAAAAGTTATTGACAAGTTTTAGCCTTCAGGGAAATTTATAAAGCTCTTTTAGCTTTTAGTACTATAACATTCAACAGAAATAACTAGCTTTCCGTATTCATTGGTATAGGTTTAGTTGAAATATATAATTCCTTTCTACGTATAGACTGCATACTGCAGACCTTGGTCTAAATTTCTTTTGAATACCGCTTTATAATACTACACAGGGGAAATATCAGCCATTAAATTCAAGTTCTATTCTCTGGATAATAATAAATAATTGCCTTTAGGCTGACCCCAATTGGAACATCAAGTTTCGTTAAGACAATTACCTTCCAGACATCTGTCAAGGCACAGCTATATGCTCCCCATTGCCACCAACACGTACACACGCCCATTGGACCCTGGGCGCCTGCAGAGTCAACAATTTATCAACGTTTTAATTAACATACGCGCAAAGGCACTAAAAATAAATGCCTGCAGGAGCGTAAAATATAACAACAGTGGGTGGGTTGGCGGTTTGGATTTTACTGCCCAAGGACGGGACACGTGCCGCGCAATTAAAACGAGAATTATGACAATTGAAGGTGCGATCTGTGAATGGGTTTAGCAATGGGTCGAAAGGAGGCCCAAGGAGTCATAAAACAAAAGTGACCCCGAAATAAAGGCCTTGGCATACACAGAAAATACATTTTTGTATACTTTTATGCCTAATTATGTTTGTATGTTATTTGCTTTATGGTACATAAGAGATAGCCAATTGTATGAAGCAAGTGCAAGTGGTCTTAAAAGCTTGAGTTATTCAATCTACGAGCTTGGTCAAAAAGGAGGAAATTGATCCACCGCGGTGCGATCGAGACCATCACTGCGGCACCATCACGTACCCAGCCAAGGAACGACAGGAGAACAGACCAGCGAGGACGTACAACCGATCTCGATGGGCCGAATCTGGCAGACCGGACTGCCTTGCGTCTCTCGAAAGCCTCCTGAATGTCCTTCAGGTCGAGGAGGGTCCTGCGCTGATTAGCGGCCATTCTAAGAATCAACTTGCGCATCGCTCGCATCAGGGCCGTAGACTCCACCAGCTCCTCCCTGAGCAGAGCGTTCTGGGCCAAGCAGCGAACCAAAGTCATGGAGTTGCGTTCGGCAAGCTTATCGTCATCCGTCTGAGAGGGTCTGGTGCCGATCTAAGAATCAAAGTGATTTATACTACTACGAACTATGATCTCCAGGCGAAACCTACATTGTGTCCAGGTAATTGAGACCGGGAAAGACGCGACATATTTTGACTTGAAATTTACTACGAAATTATCAGAAAGTTTGATGTTTTTTGGAAAATTTTTCTAAACACACTGTTCCTGGTTGTCTGAAAACTTCGATTTGAATGAGCCAGGGAGTTGCAAAAGGTTAATAATGTTAATGCCAATGGATGCCTGGCATACTTGGATCAACGTAATCAACCCAAATCAGAACCTGCTAGATGGAAATACGAAGTTTTAGCAATCACATTATTTTAAAGCTGCCAATTTTTCCTGTGTAGAAATTGGGAATACGGGTTGAGGCAGAGGTCTTGAAGGAGATTGGGTTGGTCCTTCAAAAAAGCGAAAGTCCTGTGGGTTCTGCGGTTGTCGCGCTGTGTCTTTCGCGTAAACTATTAAGCAATTTCGAAATTTCACAGAACTTATGCGCAATTGGCACGCGAATGGAAGACACAAAAGGAAGCCAAGGAACACACACACACACACACACAAATACAGGAGCAATGCAGGAGCGTTTCCGCCTTGGAAAAAGTATCGCTTCCTCTTCTTTTTTACTGAATGAAAACGGCGCAGCCAGCGAAAAGCTGTGTTCTCTCCCACGCTCTCTAACGCACTCTCTCCCTCACTCTGACAGCCAGCTATCCTGCTCGCTCCTGTTGGGGGGAAATATGAAAAATGGTGAAAAAAACAAAACCTTGTCAAGGACAAAGCACGCGACACGGCCAGAAAACAGCTGAGCCGATGTTTGTTGTTGTTTCTCGACTCGCGGCTCGCGTTCTCTTTCCCACTATCTCTTTCACTCTCTGTCTCTGTCTCTGCCTCAGTCTCTCTCTCTTTCTCTTCTCTCTATCTCTCTCTTTGTACTAAAGTGAAATATAAGGGAGTGCGCATGCTGTTAATCCAACAGCCGTTGACTTGGCTAACAGCTGGAGTGCGCTGCTTCTGTTAGCCGAGGCAAGCCCAAAGAATTGATTATTGGCTTTCATCACCAAACAAATACAGTGCCTCAAACCAAGAACAGACTTTATAGTACATATTATATATCTTTACTTTGTATGGTATTGAAGAAAAGAAACCTCCTCAACCCACCTCTCATCGATAAATCTTAAATGCCTTCGGTGGCACCGTTTTAAGCTTTAACATCTTTATCATATCATAATTAATAACCTCTTTCAACTTAAAACCTATCAAATGGCTTTGTTACCTATTTTAAAACATATATTCCGAATTACTTTTATATATTATATATAGGGATCTATTATAATTTTAGTCAGAAGATTGCAATGCAGTGTAAAGTCATATCCGACCCTTCTTTCGACTGCAGGGGTATACAAAATGTTTTCTACCCGAACTTAGCTTGCTTTAAATGAAAATAAGTTTAATTGTCTCTCAAATATCATTCCTATTTCCATAATTTTAAATTCCCTTACTGTTTTATTCGAGCAAACAGAGTTCCGCATTATAATTGAGTTGAATGTAAGAGGAAGCCTGGCATAGCAGAAACATATTTTCTCTACTCACAATGTCAACAAACTTTTTATTAGCTTTGACATTTTGGCCAAGTTTAATGGCCGCCCGTGCCAGCCTCCTTTCCGCCCACTCCCACGCAAGGCTAGGGCTAATTTTTCCATGTCTAGTATATATGTAAGAAAGTTCCTCCTCCTGGTGGGTTTTTATGAGTGCGTCGACAACTTTTGGGTCTGGCATTTTGAGCCGGGGAAAAACCTCAAGCAAATCAAGTCGACTCTAAAGGCGCCGCCATATTGGTCGGGCCATATAATTTGGGCCAACTACTACTGCTGCTGGGCATAAAAATGCAACATTTATGGGGTGGAAAAGTTTCTTCCAAGTGCTTCATTAAAATTAAAAGAAAGGACATGTGGGAGGCATTTATTGAAATGGATCCATGTCACCGCAAATAATAAAAAATTCAAAACACAAACAATCGGCGACCCGATCATGACCTGTGGTCGTAATTCAATATGTATCTGAATTTTGTAATATCTTTTTTTTTTCAGGGAAAAGTCTCTTTGATTGAATTAACTTTATTTCTATTTACGTCAACATTCCAACCATTTCAACGTAATATCTAAAGAAAGTGCAAATCTGTCGACATTGCAAATGGCTTTCAATTTCATTTAATGTTCTGGTGGAAACCACAAGCAAACAGAACGGTCACTGCAACTGCCATTCGAATCCTTCGCTTTGACCAGTGCCAATGCTTTATATACATCAATTCATTTGCAATGACAACTTAAGGCCGAATGAAAAGGAAAATGGATTTAAGTGGGGCTGAACCGAATGGTTCAAGGAATCTAGAAATGGGATGCATTGGTCAATGCTTTTGTGAAAAAGTTTAAAGGAGAAATAAACTGTATACATTTTAATATACCACAAAAACTTGGCATAAAAAGGTAATTAGAATACTCTTGTTTTAATTTATTTATCATTGAAACTAGCCCCAATTAAGATGTTTGTATGATTTCATGAAAACCATTTCATGAATATTCATCATTATTGAATACCTACTCAAATCAAATTTAAAGCACTATATATCCCTTCATTTACAACTTACTGAAATAAGGATTCAGTTCTTAATTATCCTTTTAAAATTGGTTTCAAAATACGGCTGGGACAGTGTGCACTCTAAAGAGTCGTTATAAATCTCAGTTTTTCCCAAAATGCCACAAGGTAATGCGATGTCAGTGCAATGGCCACCATGGAGGCCACACTCAAGCAAAAGTCCTTACACTTCGCGTGTTCTTCTTAGTGGCAAACCTCTCCGGCTGACTGATGATGGCTGACCAGAAAATGGCTAAAATACTTCAAGCTGAAGTCCTGCAGCCGTGGGAGCAACAACAGGAACAATGAACAGGACGAAAACCAAAAGCAATAAAGAGGGAAACAAATGAAACGGCGGCAACGCAGGCAGCGAAAATGTGTCCTGGAAATGACGGCGACTTTGTCTTCGTCGTGGGTGGTCAACGCAGACACAGACTCTGGCTCACAAAAAACACGCTTAGACGCACACACATTCAGATCCTGCGAGCACATGAAACAATATACGTAATAACAATGGGAGACAACAAAGTGTGCAGCAGGAAAAACGGGCCATAAGGACGTACACAAGCAAAAAACCATCACAATTTATTCCTCTTTATTTATTTTTTTTGGCTACAAATATTGCGAAATCAATGTGGTATTTATTTTGGATATCTGATCAGAGCTTGAATGTCCTTTTCCTAGATCTAATTACATTTCTTTGGGTTACTTTATAGTTTTGTTTTAATTTAATAATTTTAATAACCGCTTAATAAAATATTCGATTTCTCTGGCACCTCTAACGCTATAAATGTTATAAATGTTATATGCAAGCATTTATATAAACTTCGAAAGAGAATATACTTAATTAAAATAAGGTTAATTTTTTTATGTGTAATTGTCTTAAGAGAGGGAGTGGTGAAATAAATAGAAAGAGGACCAAAAAAACAAATGGAGACGAAGGAAAGACAAGAAGACAAAAATACATTTCAGAGCTGCGACAATATGAAGCATAAATAAAACTAAAAGACATCTGCTTGTTTAATCTAAAACAAGAAATATTTCGAGGAAAGGGAAATCAAAAATTTTGAGTCAAAACAGATGTCCAGTATATTAAAACAGATAAAATTTTATTTAGAAATTAATACATTAATGAAGGATATTTATATTGAATAAAGAAATTGCTTTAATCATTTCTTAACTTAAGCGGGAGCATGATAATAGAAAATTTATTACGTTTATAATTGCATTATTGTGGATGTATCTTCACTATGTTTTATACTTCACTTCCTACATTCCTTTATTATGCAAAACCATTTTGATACTAACTAATTTCTATCAATTCAAATTAAAGAACTTTTCTACCATAAAAAAATTGTAAAACACCCCTTTGAAAGCAACATTGTTACATTTCTTTATATATTTTATATTTTTATAATTCTATAAATAATACAAGCCTCTCTGAAATATTTAACGTGGCTGATCGAAAGTCAATTCGTTACATTGACAGATGATAATCGCTGGCATTGTCTGCTCCCATATACAGCGTTCAAATTTGTCCCTAGTCAGAGACCTTTGGGCTTCTCAACAAATCAATCAAACTCTTTTGGGATACGATTTTACCGGCAACAATAAGTACAACACAGTACTGGATGATATTGCCCATTTTGGGTCACAAAGGTGCCAAGAAAACCGACAGGACAGGCGGAAAGGAGACGAGCGACGGAAAGTGGAAGTGGCAGGCGGTTGACAGGGGAAAAGCGCAGAAAGAAGTGAGAATAACGACCGACTGTGTGGGCGTATGCACAAAGGAAAGAGCAATAAAAGAAGGCACACGGAGAACGGAGAACCGAGGAAGGGCAGAAAAGAAATTAACAAAGTTGGCGCACAAAACAAAACGCAAACGCAAAATGCCAAGTGTGCGGTTATTAAATTTTGCAAGCAATTGACTTGACCAGCGGAAAACGGGGGTGGGCGCGGTCCGATAATCGATAAATGTTGTGGAAAATGTAGCGCTGGGAAATTGCTACACATGTTGCAGCTGATGGGGCGAAATTAACTGAAATTGAAACCGAAACTGGTAGTGAAAGCGAATCTTAAAATGGAACAGACGTTGCGATTCAGTTTTCAATGTCAGTCGATTGGATGGGCGAGGTCAGGCCCAGGAACAGATGGATATATGTATTGAGATAATGAGTTTTCCATGGCTGTTAGCTAGCTAACTGTCATTTTTGGTGTCATTAAGCACGTTTTTATTATCAACTCGGCAGTTTTTGTGTTTTATTTCTAATTATTCCTTTGGAAACATTAACCTTACTTGTATATAATGTTTTTCAATTTTCAGGAACTCTTAGGAAGAAAGAAATATTCTGTTGCCAAAATGATTAATAATTCTTAGTCGTATTTTAACCAATTTTCTTAACACTTACATTGCTTTGAGACTGGTTGTTGTCTGTTTGTTTTGTAGATTTTAAAGTTGTTGTTCGGGCCTTCTGGGACAGACTTGGGGCACCGCTGCGTATGCGTAATATTTGTAGGTAGTAACTTTCTCGTAATTGACACCGAAACAGCTTTTAGGTTTTAACCCAATTGACTAAGCACACAAAAGAT